AAAATATAACAAGACCAGTCAATCGATATTCCTATGTTTTCATCGTCCTATTCCAACAAGTTGCTCAACAAGCCGTTTGTCCTTTAAATTTAGAAATTCCATATAAGCAGGTATATGATAATATTTATTAGAATAACAGACTTTGTTACGAAAACACAAAACACCTTTATATTGCGAAATTAATCATCCTCTCTCATGTTTTCTCTATAGTAGCTACATTAATATCACCCTTTACTCATGGTGGGAGGTTACACATAAATATACACATAAATCTTTAATATACAAAGATTTCATTCAATTTCGATATTGAACAACGTGAAAATATCAAAAAAAATATATGTAAACTTATTTCAACAGCTGCTTCAGTTGACACACATTTATGCGGCAAACAGCAGTGGCACATGGTGGTCAAATCCAAGGATAACAACAAACAAATCCGGTTGTGCATCAATACTTGTACATATTGACATGTACAATTTGGCTACAATGTGACCCAAATTTATAAATATATCCAAAAATTCCAACAATTACAAACGAAGGACAAAAATTAAGTGAATTATGTCAAACCACACCTAAAACACAACACAAAACAAAATCTCACTACAGAAGAAATAACGAAAGACTTAAGAAACAAACATTGTCTGCTGCGTCGTTACATGCAATCGGCATCAACATCATCATCGTCGTCGTCATCTTTCTCATCACTTTGCAATGATGCACTCTCGGCCATTTGCACAAACTTAAGGCAAACCAGGTATTAATGAATTATTATCAATATATGTTGTTGTAATTATGAAAACATCTTTTGACTAATTGCCTAAATCTGTCAATTAAATGTCAAACTTAAGTAGAGAACAACAACAAAAACTTAAAAGAGATGATAATAATAAGAAAACAATATTTATGAACAACTTTGTTAGAAAAGACTATTTGACAAAATTAAAAACAAAATGCATTATTTAAACAAATAATAATTTAAAAAACTCAGCGAATTGAGACAATAAGTGGGGGATTATATTGTTTAATGTGGCATAATCTTTAACATAAAATCACCACATAATGTCACCAATTTCCAGTGCCAGTGTGAAGAAGGCAGACAGGCAGCCATTAAACGAAAGGCATTTAATAGAAATAAAAATTTTTATGACAAGTGTCATAAAATATTAAACAAGTGTCAAATGTACTTTGCGGAACTTGTTGTCGCTATAATGTTAGTGTTCGGAACTTTGACTACACAAAAAAGGTTTGATAACTGCATAGACATGTGTTTACACTGGGAGAAATTGAATGTTTATATCCTTCACCACACTGGGTATTATGTCTTTGTGCGTATGTTTGCAACAGGCAAAAGGAAACGAGATAGACACAGCGTTCCTTTTGAGTATATGCATATAATCACTTTCTGAGTCGATTTACGCATGTTCGTCTATCCGTCCGTCCATGTATTTTTGTGAACAAAGTACAGGTCGCATTTATGATCCGATTTGAATAAAATTTGACATAGGTCACTTATTTGGTCCAAGGACGAACCCTATTGAAATTGGGAAAATCGGTTCAAATTTAGATATAGCTCCCATATATATTTTCGTCCGATTTAATGTAAATGGTGCATCAAAGTCCCTATATATCTTTCGATTTACAAGAAATTTGGCCCAACGTAATGAATTAGGTCTAGAATGATTTGTGCTAAGTTTCCTGAAAATCGGTTCAGATTTAGATATAGCTCCCATCAGCAACATACACAGGATTTCATTTCGGGGGGGCCCGGTAGTACAAAATGAAAGAAATCGCTGTTGCAAACATAAATTTACTGTGAAAAATTTTCATTTCGGGCACCCGGGCCGCCCCCTGCCCCCCGGGCTGCCCCCCTGCGTACGTCTCTGGCTCCCATACATATTTTCGTCGGAGTTAATGTAAATGGTGCCGCAAAGTCCCTATATATCTCTCGATTTGCACGAATTTTGGCACAGCGTAATAAATTAGGTATAGAATGATGTGTGTTAAGATTCCTGAAAATCGTTTCAGATTTAGATATAGCTCCCATACATATTTTCGTCCGATTTTATGTAAATGGTGCACCAAAGTCCCTATATATCATTCGATTTACACGAAATGTGGCACAGCGTAATGAATTAGGTCTAGAATGATGTGTGTTAAGTTTCCTGAAATCGGTTCAGATTTAGATATAGCTTCTATATCTGACCAAATGAAAAATTTATTATCGATTGCAGAATGACATGTTTATTGATTCAATTTAATTTTACTGGTCCTTTAAATTTGTGAAGTCTATTAGAATTCATCTGTTGAATATACCCAAAGTGGTGAAAGGTATCATATAGTCGGCCCTGTCCGACTTTACTACTTTCCTTGCTGGTTTTTCGATACATTTGATAAACGTGGTTGTATTAAAACGAAATCGATGTTTAAAATATACGAACCACACGAACTTTACGACGTTTCTGCCTGTTGGCTCCATTCGGACAGATGTGGTCTTAGAAAAGTGGTGTTGGAGCCGGTTTTTAAGAACCGGCAGAAGATAACACTCTTCCCAAAATGGACAACAAATATTTAAACGATCATAATCTTTGTTGAATTCGGTCCGGACGAAGTACTCTCCACCAATTTTATGTATATTTAACATTTGTTCAAAAAAGGTAGACCCTTTATCATAGCAAAAATTAAGAGGACCTCTGTTTGTACTTATATACATTGACCTTAATTGAAACATTTCTGGCAAGAAGTGTTTTCTTTGCCAAGAACCTGGCCCTCAAAATACCGAAAATTGTGCGGAATCTATATCAAAACATGGACCTGTATTGATAATTTTCCGAATACATGTATGCCAACCTCTAAAGCTCGGAAATGTCAAATTAGAGCCTTTTCGGCTACGAAAGCAGATGTATTATATGACAGAGGATCGCATATTATATGAATAGTGTTTAGAAAGTGCATTTCATGAATCAAATTCACAAAACTTTGAATACAGGTTTCTTGCCAGAGGGAGCGAAAGAGTAAAGGAGAATGGCGTCAAAAATTATGTTTGACTCTGATATTACTTTACATTTCATAAATAGGTCAGGCCTGAATCCTAGTATTCGTATTCTTGTTTTGCGTCATTAGAACATTATCTTTCAAAGTTGCGGCTCCTAAACTTGTTGCTCGTATTAACACTTGCCTGATATATTGTAATTGTCATTTAAATCAAAATAATTTGGAAAATACATATGCGAATTTTCTAACACCAAACAGTAGGCAATCAAACTGTTTCTGACAACCACCAAGTGAAGGGAGAGAAACTAATAAAACAATGCACAACCGAACAATAAATGGTGGTGGCTTTTTTCTTGGGAGGAATACATTTGATTTGTCGAGAGAGAATAAAAAATGAGTGAATTTTACCTGTGAAATAGATCGAAGTATAAAGACAGTTTTGATATTAATGAAATGTTAAATTTTTTTTAAGAATTAATGGTTTTTTGTCTGTAATCTAACCGAGGTGCATGTAAAATGTGGGAAAATTAACCTAAGCAAAAAATAGTCATTGAAATTGTTTTTTTTTTTTTTTTTGAATCATCATTTGCCATAAGACTGAGGGTATTCAAATGAGATTGGATTCGGAGTACTCCCAAAAGAGAAGGGCTCCACAGCCCAGTTTTTAAAGAGGTTTCACACTTTTAGATCCCATGGTAGTTTATAAGAATATTGGTCATAAAATCGGGGCTATAACATCTACTATTACAGCCGAACAATAAATGGTGGTGGCTTTTTTTCTTGGGAGGAATACATTTAATGAAATGTTTACATTTATGAAAAAAAGAAATAAATTATACAAAATTTTACTTGTATTCTAGCCAAGGTACATGTATAATATGCAAAAAAATAAACTATGAATGACATTATGAAAATATTCATTAAACATTTCTTTCTGTGTATCCTTATTAGCCATAAGGCTGAGGGTATTCAAATGAGTTTGGATTAGGAGTACTCCCAAAAGAATATAGGTCTTCAAATTAGGGTTATAACAAGTCATTTACTTTTTGGAATCTTTATTTATGGAAATAAAATTTCTGATGCCGAAATAGTATAGCGTCATTTTTAAATATTTTGCAAATAAAAAGCTATTTCCAACAACCACCAGAGTTTTTAATAATTTTTAAATATTTGTCTTCTGTGTAATTTTTAAAATTTTCTCTAAATTTTTATGAATTATATTCCAAATATTTTTAGTGTTTATAGTTTTTTTTATAGAATTCTTTTCTTCTAACATTTGACACAGACATTTATGGCTAGCCATATAGAAAACAAATGCAGAGTTCATGATCAGCATGTATTTTTAAAAAATGTTTTTTTTGCGGTTGCTTCTTCTGTTAATTTTTTTGTTTGTACAATTTTCCAAAATTTACTACATCTCTGTACTTTTGTGGCAATTTTCAGTTTAGCACAATTATCAACTTGAATACACGTTCGAATACATTGTCAGCAATATTTTCTTGGTTTGGTTAGTTCGCTTTTTTATGTTTGTTTGTATTTTCGGTTGATTTGGAAAATTGCTAAATGATTGATTTTACGTTGATTTGAAGATGCACGACAGCTACAAAAACAACAACACCACCAACAATTTAAGTACATTTATATGGGTGTTTCGCTATTGGATTGAACTCCCCACGTTGTTGGTTTTTCAACCGCTAAATGTCAGCATGTGTTTGCACAGTCAGTAGTCGTAGTTGGGTAGAAATTAAAATTGTAAATATTTAAATGCACAAATGTCCAAATACGGTTGAGCACCATCATCTGGTAAGATGGCCGGCCAGTTGTTTTTAGCGGTATTGAGGTATTTAAGAAAAAAAATCACCAATATTTTTTTTTTAACAGCACATAATATTGTTCAGTTTTTAAATATTTTATTTTGTAGTTTTTAATAGTTCATTTCATAACAGTCACTTCTTTTTTGAAATATGCATATTATTTTCATAATTTGTTTTATTTATTTTAATTATTACCATTTTTGAGCACAAATTGTTGTTTTATTATTTTTTCTAGTCGTTTGATTTTTTAATCCTTTTTGTATTGATGATCTACGGCAAAAATAATCCTTTTGTAGCAAACACCGACGACTATCGTATCAGAATTCAATATAGCAAATTGAATTCGATCGATTATCGATTCTATATATTTGTCCACACAAGATCTTTTCTTTCAACTCAAGCTTTGCGGCTTCTTCGGCCGTGATGCTATTTTATTAACGGCAAAGGAGGAAAAGAACACCTCTGTTGGTTTCACTTTAAAGGTTCGACAGTGGGTTACCAACTAAACATCTGAAACTTATAGATTTTCTATATATACCCCTAGCAGCGGAGACGAGTAAGTTTTTGGCTATAAGCTTGGGCGACAACAGTTGGCGCTAAGTAACACTTTGACCGATTGAAGATCACCAGCAGCAGCTAAAGCGCGCAAATTTTTGTTGTTACTCTCTTTGTTGGCGATGTTCGAGAGTAGCATCTTCTTTAAATATTTTGTCGTTGTTGCTGTTGTTGTCGACTTTGATATATTGTTTTTGTTTTCTTTTGTTTGCTTCTTGGGTACAACAACAAAAGTGATATTGAAATTTTGGTTTTGACTGACTAGCAGCAAAAACAGCAGCCAACCAGTCAACCTAGCCAGCTATAGATGGCTGATGGCTTGGCAGAGTGTCTTTGCCAAGCAGCTAAATAGCGAGACAACTCGATTATCTTGTCTGGACACACCAGTTGATGTGTGTGTGTGGGTTTTGGTTTTATAAATTACCCTTCTCCCTAGACATTTGGGCATATTTACGATATCAAAACGTTGGGTTTTTAAGATCATCTACACAATTTGCCAAATGTAAAATATTCCATCATTAATATGAAACATGTCAATCAAGTTACACTACCAAAATTAAATCCATATAAAATATTAAAGCTATAACATAAAGGAACTTTGCAGGATCGGTATGTGAAATGAGCACCGAAATCCGTGAACGCAGTGAGCACCTGAAAGTATTGTTTGACAACGGAAGCATTAAAAATCTGTAAATTTCATTTGAATGTTCGTGAATCAATTCTAAATAAACGTGTTGATCACAACAATTCACAATTATTCGAATATGAATCAAAATTCAATCGGCTCTCTTGTATGAAGGGCCCAAAATTCATGGCCCAAAATTGATTACATTTTTAAACATAGGACAGTTCATTCTTCCAAAATGATATTGGAATGATAGCGATCCGCTGTAATCAGGGTATCACCCCACTATGTGGTGGAGTTTTTATTAAATTTGTCATTCGTCGTTGGCAACATTGAACCACACTTCTGCAAATATGCTGCGAATCGTAACGTACCGTAAAATGATTTCCAACGTATTGTTTCAACAATAGGTGTCGCATGCCACACAACCCACAGCACGCGTTCGTAAAAAGTTTATTTCACGTTCGGCCCGTTCGCTAAGATCTTTAGACTATTTTTTGGGACTATGTTCAAGATCCTGTCTTTACCGATAAGCCCGCTTCAATTGACGCACTGGAAGACGACAAAGAAATATTTACTCCTGCGATACAGAACAAATTATTGGAAAGTGTATGCCAAAATTAGACTAAGCGGATGGAACATTTGAGGATCTGTCGAGACCAACATTTGCATGAAATAATCTTCAAAACTTTACATTATATAGACCGTACTTATCAGTCCAGATAATGATTTTATAAACTTTTCGGAATTCTATGTTTTTTAAACTCTTCTTATAGCACTTGAAAATTAGCAAATAAACTAGTCAATATAGGTCCATGTTTTCATATTGCCCCAGTACTTGGTTTTAGACCACATGTTTCTTTAGGTTCAATCCACTTCAGACAATTTTGAGTCGATTTACAAATATCCTTATGTCTATCTAGCTGGCTAGTGCACTCGACAAATCTCCAAGGGAGTAAGCGATTTCATCCAAACTTTACACATCGTAATATTTCTTCCAAACATAATTTAACTTCTAAGTTGGGGAATATTGGTCCACTCTGAAGTTTCAAACTAAACTTTGCGCAACCAAACATTTCAATCATGCCTGTATATTATTAGGAGATGGGATTTATCGGTCCTCTCTGTTGACCGCAATAGGTCAACATATATATAAAACAAACGGAATATCATAATTTCGTCCAAACTTCACACATCATAAAACTGTTACCTGGCTTAGATCGAATTCAAACATGGGACTCATCGGTTCATTCCTTCTGGTTAAGATTTTGAAGCTTTCTTAATCTAATAACAATGGTATGTAATGTCGGATTTAATTCTAAAAATGCACATTGTAGTACTTCTTTCAAACTTAATTCAAACTAGATGGTGGGACTCATCGATCCACACAAAATGTTTCTGGAAATAACATTATAATAGCATGCGAACGGTCTATCTGATTTGAATTAAACTTTGCCCAACCTAATGTTTTAACCATGTATGTCCAATGTTGGACGATTGGACTTATCGGTCCACTACATCTAGTAACTCCCCCACAACGGGTCAACATTTTGAAAACTTGTAACGGAATATCCAATTTCATCCAAACTTTTTATTTGTTAATATATTTACCTTACATATGGGTCCCGTTGGTTCACTCCTTCTTGTAACTTCCCCACAATGTGCCAACATTTTGAAAATTTGTTATCAAAATACCAAGATAATGGAATGTCTGCTCTGCAAATGGCAATATTTTTCAAACCTACATTAAATCCTAAGATGGGATCTACAAGGCAACCTATATATATATATACCATATATTCATACAAAAACGAATCATTAAATGTGTGTATATTTCCGCAGAACTCCGGAAACTATCGACTAAGGGTATATATATGTCGGGGTTGTTTTGTTTATTCTCGATAAGACCAAAAGCCTTTCATAAAAAATCAGTTAAGGTCCGCTACATATCATATATTGTTATTTGTTCGAATTTAAACCATATAGTATAGTTATGGTAGAGTATCCGAAATTCGTCTTAAATCATCTATCAACATTTCTATTCTCTTCTTTTCGTTTGTTTTAATGTTAAGATCAGCGATTATCGCAACACCCCGGCAGATCGAAATCAACAAAGCCTCTCCGCAGTTAATTGCTAATGTATGTAGGTATGCTGTTTTACACCGACTCCACCAACAACAACAAACCGACACATAAAATTATGCTAAATTGTTTTATTTATCAAATCAGCATATTTTAGTTTTTTTTTACTATTTCTTTTTAAATTTAAGTTTTAGTTTCAAATTGGTTATTTAGTTGTCAACAATAATGTTTCGATATTCTTAATTGCTATAGATGTTCTTTGGTAATCGTAATTATTCAAAACGACATCATTTTTGGTGACACCGGATATAAATACGGTATCTAAAAGTCCTACAAACATTGCTGCCCTTTTATTTGATATAGCATGTTATGGCTATAAACGAAAACGTCATAAACGATTTGGATTGTAAATGTTGTCATACTACTTTAAACATGAACACTTACTTTATAGAGGTCAGCCAGCATTTCTTCTAATATTGTGAAAGAAAAATAATTTTGTTCGCCTTTAGAACCTATATGAATTTTGTATTTTGTAAAAATATGGAATTATTTTCTGAAGACAAACACAGCAGTTAGACAAGTTATTTGAGAAGTCGTTAGCTGAGTATCGTCCACAAAAAAATTCTAAATAAAAAAACCTTCATTAAAAATGTTAATGAAATTGCCTTCGATCGTTTATAAGTAATCAAATCTGTTTATATGAATGAATTGTTGAATTTCTGGTTCTTTGAAAATATATGTTTTTTTCATTATTTGTTCTGCGTTAAATTTCTTTCTCCTTGCAAATTTTAACGATTAAAGGTGGTACTGTAATTAACACGAGCTAAAGAATCATTTTTTGTTCGGTGGTTAAAATTTGAACTGAAAGTGAAATTAACATTTTTTTATGAAACGTATCCGCTTTACAATCATTGTTGGATTTTATTATATGTTTTTCTCCTTCTACTTGATGTAACATACTAGCAGACATTTTACAATGCCATAGTTCCATATATAGATCTATTTGGTTGTTTTCAAAAGTATTGGACTGTCAAACTAATTTGTTAAACCATTTCTTTTATTTTCAGTTGAAATTCTAACATTGACGGAAATGGATCGTTAACTGCCTCACAACGCATAAAAATGATCAAAATCTATTTCAAAATAAATAATTCTGCCACATCGGAGGTGTTAGGAGGAGTTTATATAATTGTTCAGGTACATGTATGTTAGTAAATTAAAATTGTCGTATTTCAGACAAAATTTCAGAGCTCTATCTTAAATATTATGATTTTGATACATGGCAGATTTCTATTCCAATATATATACACTTTATGGGATGCGCGATGATTATATTGAGGCCGGAATGACAAATTTAATATCGACAAAGTCGAGGTTATGGTCTGGGGTGCAAAATTTCTATTGGTGATAAAGGATCCTGGTGAGTATATAAACGTTATAATTTTTTTGATGAGTCCATATTATAGTTGAAGATTCTTTAAAAATCTACGCCTATGGCTTTGATAGTCTTTGAAAAATAATTCTTTAAAAATCTACGCCTATGGCTTTGATAGTCTTTGAAAAATAATTCTTTAAAAATCTACGCCTATGGCTTTGATAGTCTTTGAAAAATAATTCTTTAAAAATCTACGCCTATGGCTTTGATAGTCTTTGAAAAATAATTCTTTAAAAATCTACGCCTATGGCTTTGATAGTCTTTGAAAAATAATTCTTTAAAAATCTACGCCTATGGCTTTGGTAGTCTTTGAAAAATAATTCTTTAAAAATCTACGCCTATGGCTTTGAAAGTCTTTGAGAAATAAGTCCTTGAGAAATAACTCCTTAAAAACCCACGCCTATGTTAGTGATAGCCCTTAAAAAGTAATTATTTGAAAAACCAGGCCTATGTTAGTGATAATCCTTGAGAAATAATTCTCTCAAAATCCACGGCAATGTTAGTGATAGTCCCTGAGATCCGGTTCAAAAATTTA